AAGATTAAATTCGTACCATTATCCCCGAATATCTAGTCATGGTTCCGGACCACTATGGAGTTAGCGATCTCCGTGATCGTGAATGGGGTGTAACCTTCACACCCGTGAACGGTTTACAAGTTCCTAAAACTTGTTGGCGACTCTTTTATCTATAGCTTCTTTCCCTTTGGAGGCCACCATGCTTAAGTGCATGATCACAGTGGGGCTCAAAGTTGATGTTTGAAATATTCCCCACAGTTTTTGGCGACTCCGCTGGGGAGGATTTCTAGGTTTGAATCCTAAAATTTATTTTGTTAATTAAATTTAGAATGAGTGGATAAGACTTGAAAAATTCTAGATATTCATTGTGCGTAATTTTTTTTAACATTGTGGTATAAGCATAAAAAGGTCAGCATTGGAAAGACCATCCGAAATGCGTCAAAACATAGGATTTTTACACGTAGGAAAATTGGGAAATATCTTTCAAAACTAGAATAAAAAAAATACTACAAAAAATAGAAAATCCGAAGAACACAGAAAACTACCACGAAGCGTAGGAACTGTCGCGAGACGACAGGACCCATCGCCATGCGATGGCTCCTGTTTTCTCTCGCCAAGTTCTTCCGACATCGCGCCATGAATCTGGCTTCTTATTTTGACCGATTCTAGTACTGTTTCGCCGATTCTACTTCCTGATTGAGTTTTTCCTTCTTTTCTAAACCCATATGTGTTCTACATATGATTTTAGCCCCAGGGAATTCACGCTCCATCTACCCTATCGAACGCTCCGTGCAACGGAAGGTACGTCCGAGTTTGTGAATTCACCAAACCATGGAAGCAAGTCTAAATTGCGGGGTCCCATCCATATGCGCCAACTCTTCCAAAGGTAAGGCTTCCGCGTGATGCATCCGGACTCATAACCATGGACCCTCTTTGACTACCATCATTTTTGAACTTTAGAGAACTAGAGCCATGGTTAGGTTGCAAACTCATTGCATCATATTGTGACTATTTGACTAGTTGTGCATCCCTTATTTGTGCATATCTTGCTTGTGATTAAACTAACCTTTTGTGTTGACTTGTGTTTATAAAATCTTAATAAACTAATTAATGACTTAAAAGGACTTTAGTTAATTAATTAATTTGGATTAATAAAGTCTAAACATACTTGACCTACTAAGACTATAGTTTTCCCTTTTGAAAGAATTACCAAAAACAAGTTAAACTGACGTTCCAGTTCTGGCATGAAAGTTTGGCTTGTAGCGCAGAACGTAAGTTCTATTGCGACGTGATATTTATATCGCGCTGCGATAGAACCAACGCAATGTGATAATTCCATCGTTTTGCGATAGTTCGATTTTCCTTTCTGAGTCTTCGCATCGAGTCTAAATTTTTTTTTGATGAATTAATAATTTTAGGACTTATTTATCTTATTTAACCCTCTTCCTTTTTATTAAGCCAAGTCATAGTTCTTTTTTTTGTTTTTATTATTATTTGAGTCAACCCGGATTTTTATCCCCGTATCATGCACAAGTGTCAACTTGTTTTGGTCATAGACGGAGTTTTAGAAAGAGTTACGAGTTGTAAAATCTATGGATCTGTAGCCCCGGTTTTTATCTTTTATTTGGAGTTGGTTTCCTCCCAATCAGAGTCACAGATCAAACGTTATGACTTAAATACTACAGCCTGTCCAGTTAGGAGTTCTTTTTAGCGTCCAACCTATTTTATTTCTTTTCATGTTAAGTCTAATTTTCATAATTAACTGGTTTAATGAATAAACGAGGTCTTCTTTGGTTTTATATGAGTCTAACCACATGTCTACTCACATGGTCATGACACAAGTCTTGAACACATCACTTTCATTCACAAGTCTTAGCACTCACTTGGTACATGTCTTTTTTCACACCATGACCATGTCTTAGGTCCATGCATGAGTCGTCCTTTCCATCATTTGAGTTAAGGTTCCATCTTATTCCCACAAATTTTCATATCCTTTCACATTCACATATACCTTCCCACATACTTTCCATACATTACACTTTCCTTCTTATAACACCTTCCACATTCCTTCATCTTACATGCTTTCCCCATACATGCCACTCACCTCATACACTATGATATTTCCACATCTATGCATGTTAAATCGAGTTCGAGTCATGTGATTGACAATGAATGTCCATAATTTCCCTTTCCACAGCGTTTGGTCAAGGAGAGAAGGACGTTTAATCAAGGACAACACTTTTGTTCAAGTACTACTCTTTGATAGACCGATTTGACGCAGGAAAAAGTTCGTAATAATGGCCAGTCAAGAAGAAGTTGACCAACTTAAAGAAACTATGAATGGACTTGCCGAGATTCTCAAGGGGCTCACTAATCAAGTTAACGACCCTAGCAAGCAAGTACCAGTCGAGACCATCAAACGCATAAAAGAAAGCTTGAGTCAAATGTCTAATGACTACAAGTACCATGGGATTAGCTCCAAAGGGATCTTAGTGGATAAGGAACTTCTTCGCAAAAGTTCTCTGCCAATGACATTCCTAAGTTCAAGCCAACTGACAATCCTTACTTTCACTTAAGAGCTTTTGAAACAATCGACATCAAGGGAACTGATAGGAGAGTTTTCCCTTCACTCTTCCCGCTTTCTCTTGATACAATATGTCAGCAATGGTTCTTCTCTATAGCCAAAGAGAAGATCGCTACATGGAAATCTATTACACATGCTTTTATTGATAGATACAAATGTAATATTGAACTTGAAATACTTAAACAGAAAGAAAATGAAGGATTTACTATTTTCTATAATAAGTGAAGGGAAACTTCTGCTAAAATGATCGAAGTTCCAAGCGAGAAAGAGTCTGTAAGGATGTTCATTAAAAACCTCCAAGAAAAATATCAAAAACACTTGAAATATCAATGCAACTTGAATAATTTCAAAGCTATTTATAACATAGGCATTGAAATTGAGGATGACCTTATGAAAATCAAAAGTTGCTAACAATAGTAACAACAGTGGCTGGAAAGGAAAAAAGAATGACAATCCTTCTTCTTCCGAACACACCCACTCTAGTAACAATGTTAGTACCTTTAACCTCAATGATGTCTTAACCGTGGATAATCAAGGGCCGAGAAGGCAACTAAGAAAGGAGCTCAGCCCTATCGGGATGAGCTACGATACCTTGATCGACTCCATGCTAAGGGACTCATCATTCCCATTGGACCTATGCAAGATCCTCCACTTGAAAGTAGAACATCCAAGTGGGACCCAGATGCACACTGCAAGTACCATCAAGGTAGGGGTCATACTACTGAGAGTTGTTGGAAGCTAAAGGAGGCCATCCAACATTTTATTGATAATAACAAGCTTCCCGTTCCTCCAGCTGGCAAGAAGACCGAGTGATGATAATCACAAAGCGTGAAGCAGGATTCAACGACAAGATTTCATGATACTTTTCTTTTTTTTTCCCCTTTCCCTTAATAAGTCTAGCATAGACACCCTTCATTTTCCTTAGATTTATTTCTTAGAGTTGGTTTTCTCACCCTTCCCATTTTAATAAAATGAGCATTTATTTCTTTCCATATGATTATTGCATCGCATTAAATAAAATAAAATAAAATAAAACCAACACCGAGCTAAGCACAAGGTATACTAATGATTTGAGGCACCCTTTGTAGCCACGTCATATCACCTTCACCCTTTGAATTACAATCCCTTTCTTGATAAACCACTTTAGGCCTCGTCTAACGATAGACCTCCATTTTTTCAACCCACATCTACCTAACCTTGGGATAGGATGGCGTGCAACTTATGCAATTTTCAAAGCCAAATACAAAAAGCTTGAGTAATTTTTACCAAAAGTGCCAAAAATTTAAAAGTTCAAAAAAGAAAATAGAAATAAAAATGTGCAAAAGGGCAGGTGTTCCAATGTCTTTGATATGAACATGTCTGTGATATGAACAAGTCTTGGATAGCGTTACTTATCTAGTGCTCGGTACCGTGCCTGAGAAACATGAATGCCAAGTGAGTGATAGACCGCATGATCGGGATTGCCTACACTTATACAAAAGAATTCAAATAAAAATCTCAAATGCAGCAAAAAAAAAAAAAGAGTTCAAAAGTGAGAAACCTCGAGCATACAAATACCAAGATTCAAATGCAAGGTTGCACACCTTAGGGGCTTATCTAGGTTCTTAAGCCTTTATCCCTTCTTCTTCAACCTTTAGCCTAACCCCGTTACAACCCTTGAAAGACCTCCTTAAGGTATACACACACTTGTGCGAGGTTCGACTAGAGCTATGTTTGGCCTGATTCTTAACGAATACGTAGGCAACCTCACATTGGGGTGCGGCCGTAATAATCATTCATTTACACATTCATACATGATCATTTCAAGGGATCTCCAATGCTCATCCCTATCCATTTAGAGCTAGAATTGGGGGCTGGACCCCTACATCATTAACCTACCCAGCCTAAGAGTCACCATCATTTGGCTCTTCTCAAAATATTTTTCCACACCCTTAGCGTTTGCAGCTTAACCTTAGTGTCACTTTCACACACATCACAGATACATAGCCAAATAATCCTTCCCTTAGGAACCCTTTGTCATGAAATATTGATACAACCTTGAAGCATGCTTTGTCATATTTGAATAACTCATTATCACAATCATCATTGCATCACAAAGTATGAAGTACTTAGCCTCTGCGCCTATGTTACCTAAATACTTTCATTTTCGAGTCATCACTGTGATAGTCTAGGATGCTACAATCCTTGCACCATGAGATACAACATCAACACATACACTTGATTAGGATCAATCAACATGCACCATCACTTGATTCATTCTTTTTATATTTTTCCTTTTGGGGAAGTTCAAAAAACTTCATTTCACTACTACATTTTTTATCTATTGCAACCCCCAAATCCGTTGCATTAGGCGTCAAAATTTGTGGCATTAGGCCTAATGCAACGGCCATGTAATGTGGCATCTACTGGCGTTGCAGTAGGTCTAATTCAACGACATATGACACCTAATGCCACGGCATCAATGATCTGTGGATTAAATCAATACCTGATGCAACAACAACATTAATGCTGTGGCATTAGGTATAATACCTAATGCCACGATTTCCTATACCTAATGCCATGGTGCATATACCCTAATGCCACGGTTCCCTATACCTAATGCCACACAATGCATATACCCTAATGCCACGGTTCCTAATACCTAATTCCACACAATACATATACCTAATGCCAATAATACCAATAATAATAATAATACTATTAAAATCAGAATTTTCCAAAAAAAAAAAAAAAGATTAGAATTTTATTAATATGAATTCAAAGTTTGTACATTGTTATCTATTACGAAAATTACAAAATTAAATTATCACTAGTTAAACTAAGGAAAAAACAATTAAAAGTTAAAACTAAACCATTTTGTCCGCCAAACAATATTTTCGGCAATTATGTGGAGCGCATTATCATTTCTTTCTCCTGCTTCTCCAATTTCTCGTAAAGCAATTCATGAAGCATCTTCTTCAACTTCAATATTATCCACCTCTAGCGCTGTTTACACATACCCAATGGATCTAGATCCCCTAATAAACAAAACACACAAACAAATCAGTAATATGTTTAGTCAGGCTTTTGCCATAGCTCTCTCCCGCTTAGCAGCAACCTCCTGCCTCTTTAGCAACTTGTACTGTATTTGTTCTACAGAGCCAACACTGTCACACCATCCTTCCTGAATACATAAACATTCAGTAAGATGTATAATTAGGCTTAGGCCGGATCTAATGGGTGAACATCCCATTATTTCAAAACACTTCATGCTTTACCAAAAACCAAGCACTGATTTTAAGATGTCATAGTATGGATTGTCAAAAAGAATCTACTAACAACACTCCAAACTTAAGGGAATTAATATCTAAAATTTTGTAATGAATTGTAGGATGGAAATAAAACTAACTGTGTATGTGGATAGGCAGGTACATGACAAAATATTCTGAACATGAGAATAAGCATGCACTATATGACAAGAACATATTGAAATTTCACTTGGCAACTAAGCAGGGGTCAATAAACAGAGATTTCTTAAATTGCTTTTTTTTTTTAAAATGTTGGATAGAGTTAGTCTCATGTATAGTATAATACCATGGTTACTATTAAACCATGAAATTGATCCAAGTAATGATGGTTGCCAAAGAGGAATTAAGGTTACAAAGGTCTGATTAATAATATTTTTAGATTGCCAGATCCCAGTCCCAATCAAAGCAACCAAAGAGATAATAGACGTTGACAATAGAGTAAGTAATCACCTCTATTTCTCGAACACGTGCCTCCTGTAGAAGTTGTTGATGAGCTTTCTGCTGTTCAGTTTGACTTTCTAAAGCCAAACGCACATGCCTTGCTTGCACCCGAGCTTGAAATTTCACTAAAGCTTGCATACAACGAAGAGTTATAGCAGCTTGCTTTCTCACAGCATGCCCTCTAACAAGTGCTTGCAGTCTTACCAATCCTTTCAATGCTCTTAGAGCTCTCTTAGCCTGATATAGAACACAAGAATCACAGTTAACCATGAATACTTAGTTGAGGCATTTAAACACTGCCACACTAGGAAGCTGAATTCACTTACTATTACTAACAACAACCAATGTAACAAATTCCTAATTTTGCCAATATTGTCATATTAAATCAGTAAGATCATCACTTTAACAATAAATAAAGTAACAACCATTGCCTAACATTGAAATTGATTTTTTTTCTTTACTTTTTCTTTTGACATGACATTCGAAAGTATGAAACCACATTACCAATTCTAATGCTTAATTTGGTCACTTAACCACCATAACAATAATCAACCAATGTAAATTTAATAAACTTTAATCATGTATCAAGCAACCACTAATTAAATTCAAACAATTAATCGTGAGCATTAATCATTTGATAATATTTAAAGCATTAAAATTAAAACAAAAGTCAAAATTTTTTAATGAGAAGAAACAGATAATCTAGAAATTAAAAGTAAATATCAAGTTTAGTAGCACACGAGTCTAGACACCTGGAGTTCGATGTTGAATCAGAGACTAAGTGTGAGTAGAATCCTTCTAGTTGGATCAGCATGAATTTGACTAATCTTAAAAGCAGCCTAAGCTTAATTGCATCCCTATTTGAAACCTGTAACAACTATTTACATTGGAAAATCAAGAAAAAAAATCCCCAAACCCCTAAATTTTGATTTCATGACTAATTATAGTCTTAAATGGAAAATCAAGAAATGCAAAATCAATTTACATAGACATTGTAAAAAGAAAGAAACCCTAAAAATTGAGTTCATGAAACTTGGAATAGATCGAATTTAAGGCAAAGAAAGTCTCAATTATATTCAAGCAATAATGATGATGGAATAGAGAGGAGAAAAAAAAAGAAGACAATTCAGCCTAAATTTTATACTTCATTCAATTATCTAGTTCACTTAAGTCAACTAATACTAATCATACAAATCATTATAGGTTAAGAGACAAGTTCATCCAAATTGACCCTAATTCAACATATGCACATTTAGTATAGAATTTGCTCAGCATCACACAATCAAACATACAAAGGAAATAAAAAATCCAAAATTGAATCAGAAATCAAGCCGTTCTAACCATAATCAGAAATCACCCTTTTCCATTTGGTTTTGGGAAAAAGATGATCAAGAGAAAGAAAAAGACATTTCCACCTAAATCATGTACCTTTAACCAAGACTTGAACAAACTGTCATCCTAAGTCAAGTTGCCTGAAATTCTGCTCATTTCAAAGTCAAATACAGAATTTACAGCAAATAATCCCCAAAAATAACACTAATTAAGTAATCAACTCAGAATCTAAATAATTAAACCCTAATTATACAATAAAATGAACAATATATATAAATTAATACTTATAATTAAACCCTGATATACCTAATCAGACAAATTCTCATTGTTAAAATATATAGAAAACATCAAATAACTCAAAAATTTAGAAAATAAACATCAAAACATTTCCAGTGAACACAAGATAAAGCAATCAAAATCACACAACCTAGCAACAATAGTTAATAAGACTCGTAAATTCCCCAAAATTAGACATAAATCTGAAATCATATAAATCAAAGCCTAAACATGGACTTGTTTTTTGGTAGATTAGTCTGTTTCCTAATGAATGCAGAAGAGATGAATTAGAGAGGAGCAAGAAAGAAGAAAAAGGAGAGATAAAGAGAGAAGGCTAAATCGAAAAAATAAAAAAAAATTTGACATATTAATTATGCAAAGGAACCCTAAATTTGAAATTTAAAGAGGAAAGTTTAATTAAAGAAGCTCATACCTAAACACCAATCAAAAGCCTAAAAATCGAATCGCACTGTCGCTATCACTCGCGACCACCATCACCACCGTGTCCATCAGTGAATGAGGAGGGAGAAGAAAGAGAGAGAATTAATCTGTGAGCGACGATGGTAGTGGATGTGGTTGTGGCTGCGGCGATGGTTGCCTTCGTCTTTGAGGAAGAGAAGAGGGAGAAGGAGAGAAAGAGAGAGGAGAGAGAACTGAGGTGGTGAGGTGTGAGGAAGTGAGGAGAGTGAACGAGATTACGAGAGAGATGAGAAAAATATAATAACGGAGTATTTAATATCACTGCCGTGGCAATAGCCTTTCAGGTCGTTGTATTAGTAAACCTAATGCAAAGGCTTCTTAAAGCCGTTGCGTTAGCTCCACCTTTTGATGTACAAAGTTTATGGCGTTGTATTAGGCTTATCTAATGCAACGAAAATAAAATGAGCCGTTTCCATAGCTCTTTTTTAGCCGTTGCATTTGATTAAAAATGTAGTAGTGTTTTACACCAACACTCTACCTTCATTCATTTTTCAAGTCTTTCTTTTTCGGGAGAATTCGGTACCCTCCACAAAAATGACGGAAATTTTTTGATTTTTTGCATTTTCGAGTGTACGAGCACAATCATTGTACAATGCAATCACGAGTCAATGCACATTGAGTCATGTCGTGTCATCACATCGAGTTGAGTCTGCATATTGAGTCATGTCATACCACATTGAGTTGAGTCTGCACATACGTTCACATTACATTGAGTCGAGTTGATTTAAACATATTGAGTCACACAATGAGTCAAGTAACACCAAGTCTTGGGTCAACCTCAAGGAAACTATAAACATGAGCAAAGTCTTATAGTCCAAAATATAGATGCAGGTACACTAAGTCCTTAGCGGACGAGCAACCTTGCAAAAGATTTGAGGCGACTTGATTGAGCGAAAAGGCATGAGCAACAACAGCAAAGCCGAACGAGCAAAGAAGAGTTCAAAAGCTCTTACCCGATTCCAGCGCATCACAACAGAACCAATCGCAGCACAACAGCTCTTGGATAAAGAAACACCTGTTAAAGTGAACATTGAATATTTTAATCGAAAATTATCCCTAATCAAGGTCATTTAAACGATGGACGATTAATGACCACTTGAGATTAGTGTGTAGTATGATTTATAGCACCGTTTCTTGTGCTACGAGGACATGATTGTCATAAATCATTTGCACGGGTACTAGTTTGGAACTGTACCGGATCGACCTATGAGATTACTTTAAGAGATTTAAAAACCGTCATAAGTACATTTCTCATTATAGCTATCGGAACCTTTTTCCTCGACCATGAGTATTGTAAGTTCTATAATTTGAGTACTAGTCGTTTTGATGTTGTCAAACGTCTGCCGTAAAGGGGATTATAACGGCAACACTCGGGCGGCTAGGTCCCCTCATTAAGGGAAGCTTGTAGTACAAGACTGGGAATGTCCCCCATTAACAATAGGGAATGTGTCTTTGTTGTTTACAAGGCCTCTCGAAGAGCGAGACTGTGAAAATGCATGGCCGTGCTTAGATGGATTTTAGAAATCATCTGCTTATTGACAGTCGAACTCAAAAATCAAGAAACACTTCTGGACGTAGTAAGGATGACGAAGAATCTTACCTTATAGTTCACGAAGAGGCATTAAGCGACATGGGAAATAGGCTATACACTAATTGCACACTTGTCCGGAAGGACAAGTGGGAGATTGAAAGGAATGGTGTCCTTCCAAAAACTGTATTATTCTAATAGAGAGTTCAGAATAATTAGAAAGCTAATTCTTCAGTAAGGTTAAGTGATTGGAATGCCTGGGTGGAGGTAGCTTCCGATCAGTAATATTAATGCATAATTAATATTACGGCTTAATCTTGACTGAACCCTTTGGGTTGCACCCCTATCGAATAACCAATCCGAAACGACAAATTAATCCGAAGGATTAGATAGGTCATTAGAGTATTACGAACAAAGACGTCAGATATCGAGCTTAGAGCGTCGAGACCAAGCGTCGCAAGTCGAGTCGAATTTAGGTTTCGAAGAGACGTGGAATCAAGCAAGCGACAAGTACGAGCCAAGCCGTAGCATCGCATTGGTCTAGCCATGCGAGGTCCCAAACCGCATACGTGCTAGCGTGCCTAGCATTACCTAGCACACGCACATTGCACAGCACGAGCATCGCAAGATGCGTGCCATGCGTGCGTGTGCTATGGTTGTGCATGCATAGCTGGGCGTGCTTGCTAGCATAACAGCACCAGCTGCATCATCGCTAGCATCGTAGCATGCTTGGGCGTCGCACAACACAGCACGCAACATCGCAATCCATGCGTGCCTGTGTGTGGCTATACGTGCAAGCTAGCGTAGCAGCACCAAGCAGCTGGTTGTGCGTGCTTGCTAGCGAGCAGCACTAAGCACTTGCCACTCGCACAGCAGCACGCACCAAGCAGCAGCAGTAGCGCATGCGTGTGCTGGCTGGCTGCATTCTATCTGGCTGCGCATGTGTTGCGAGCTGGCTGGCTCGGCTGCCTAGCCTTGGTGCTAGGCGCCAGCTAGCAGCCAAGGCAGGCTGCCAGCCAGCCACGTGGCGAGGTGATGCAGTTTTTGTGTGGGGACCAAAATTGAGAGATTGCTTGGTGAGCAAGGGGATTTGGTCCCCCCTTGAATGGTCCTCACCTACTCTCTCCCTCCATGTGACACTTGGAGCTTATTGATTGCCTTGCATTTTTATTTTGTTTTTGATTAAAATAAAATGGAGGATTATGCAAATCTCCAAAATAATGGGAGAAGGGAGATCAAGGCTCCCTTCCCTATAAATACCCAAGTTTTGGGTTTGGGAAAAATCACTTGAGTTGAATTCAATAAGGCATCTCATCATTAGTGAGAAAACCTTTAAGTTAGTAATACTCTAGTTTTATTTGGTCAAGTCCCGACTAAGCTTCGGGATTAAGACCGTTTGGGTCGGGTTGAGGGTGCGAGCCGTAGGAGGCCGTTGCACTTACGTGGCTCAAGCTTCATCACTGTCAATTGAAACAGGGTAGGAAGGTGTGGTTTTCTTTGGAGACTTCCATTTCTTTTTAAAATTGGGAGTCAGACCTGATATGAAGGAGGTTAGAGTGAGTAACAAGATGCAAGAATCTTGGACAAATTAGAGCTAATCAACTTACTGGTAAGAGGGATATTAGTAGTTTCTATCTCTAAATCTGTCTTGAATGCAGATTGTGATCTTGTGCTAGGACTTGATATGGGGATGTTCCTATGCCTGTTACTCCTTGACTTCTGTAAGGAACTTGGGGTTGAAAGAGAGATCATCTTTCTCAATCTGACCCTATCAGTGTGGGGATGGATGATACTTCTGTATGAATCATCTATGGCCATAGGCTTATAATTAAACTCTACGGCTATCTCAGATGAACGATCAATTTGATGGTAATTAGTCGTGCCTTTTAATTTGATTGAAGACACAACAATTTTTTTTTACCTAGAAAAGTAGATTGTGAATGGAAATAAAAGAAGTCATTAGATAAAACATTGAGAAGGAACCATACCCTTATAGTTTCCCACATTCACAGCAAAGTGTGCTTTGGCATCTTTAGCAGCATGAGCCTAAAGTGGTCCATGATACCACCACTCGAGATAACTCAACACCACATCGCTGGATTTTTCGGATTGTAAAATAGTTGTAGGATATGTAAGGGATTCACTCTTTTAAACATCTTCTTCATGAAATTTTGGCCTAGAGTCCCAAAGTGTATTACATGTGGTGAATAAAGGAACGGTAAGAGATTGGCACAAACCAAGTTGTCTGGCTACCACATAAGGATTATAGGCTTCAAAATCAAAGTGATCTGGTTCTTCTGTAGGCAAATCTCTAGAGGCTAATACAGAACACTAGAATGGGGAATCCCTCTTAAAGGTTTTCCTCATGCTTACTTTCTTGAGCTATTCTAGAGTTGCATCAAAGACCCAAATACTGTTAGGATCCGGGTTGTCTTTTTGGCTCATAATATACCAACTAATAGACAAAGGGTCTAACTTCAATAGACAATGCATAACAAGATTGGGGTCATGGACTTTTTGGTGGTCAAAATAGTTGAAACAAATCTCAGCATATGAGCGATAGTCCACTTTTAATGTTTTCTCCCTATAATTAAGTTTAGATGAGTATAGTGTTGTCTAATCTGCCATCACTTTCTTGACTTCTTCTTTAGTGTTCTCCATACACAAAGTGGTGTAGAGATGACCCCAACAAGTGATCAACCAGAATGGGCCACCAACATTTTATAAACTCCGACCTGCAAACAGAGTTTCTTTACATCTAAACAAACATTTGTATAATTGTCCTAATAAAATTGGACATAGAGCTACAAAAGATTTTCTATGAGAAATGTTCACTACAAGTGGTAATAACATTGCAGAAATACCACCGGACTTGCAAATCATTAAGCGAGTAAGAGCGAATAAAATAAAGAGTATCTCTTCCTCTTGCGATACTTTGGTAGAGTATGATGATGATGCAAAGTATGAAATATAGGCATTGAAGGCGACCTTGCTACTTTTGGATGTTGCTAATATCTGATTTAGAAGGTTATGAAATATGTTGTACAAGGGTCCATCGCCTTCAATCAGGCTGAACACTCTGACTTGTTGGCCTTCATCACCATAAGGTGATAGACAAGTAAGGAAAGCAATGTCATCAAGGGTGACAGTCATGCAACCTTGATGCAGGATAAAACAGTTTAACACAGGATCCCAGAGCGATATAAGAGCACATGTCAACGACCTGTTGAATGGAGTCTTACCATATGTCGCCAGTATAAGGAAACTGAAAATTCTCTTCTTCTCCCATGAGGAGTGGAATTTGGAAAGCCTCATGAACCAACCTCTGTCTATAAGGTCTTGCACCCAACCCTTAATTGGATTCTGGCTTAAAACCCAATTGTCGTTTGGATGCAATTCAATAAATGCCGCAAGGCGAGGTGAACCCTTACCAAGGATGCACTTAGTTAACTTTGGCTGAATTTCCTTTCGAAAATCTTGTTGTGCACCAAGAGATGAAAGATCAAAATGGAACGCTGGCCCATAGAGGTTGTGCCTTTCATGATGCCTTCGGTGGTTGAAGATGAAATATGCCAAAGGAAGTCAGATCTAAAGTTCTGAGGGTATTTGCTTATCAATTCGCATAATTCATGAGCCTCAATTGAACATTCTTTAACTAAAAGAGGTTTGAACACTTCTTGCAAAGGAAGAGAAGTCATTCTGTACTTCTTAAAGTTCAAATGATTAAAGGTTGAAAAGATTGGAAGGTCAAAGAGTGAATTGGTGAAGATC